AAGAGCTCTCGACTATTGGAAATCTCTTCTCCAGGTAGTTACTTGTAAACCCCATGATCAAGTCACTCCTTTATCACTTAGATAAACTAGATTGAGCTCCTTTAGTCTCTCATGATAAGGCAGGTTTTCCAGGCCTCGAATGATTCTTGTGGCTCTTTCCAATTTGTCAACATCCTTTTGAAGTGTGGACACCAGAATTGGACACAGTATCCAGTCATGGTGACACTAATGCCTTGTGCGGAGTCAGTATCATCTTTGTACTCTGACTTGATATTCCCTTGCGTCTCTACCCCTGGATTGCATTCACCTTCTTAGCTACAGGATCGCACTGAGCACGGATGTTCTGTCCATTTCCACCATGACCCATATGTCCTTTTCAGTGTCGCTGCATTCCAGGAGACAGACTCCTGTGCCCTGTACCTTTAGGCTGTCTTCTTTGTTCCTAGATGTATGACCTTGCACTGGTGATACAGATAGGTTTGTGTAACTGACCTGCCCCAACCATCATTTACCACTCCACCAATTTTGTGGCCTCTTCAGATTTTACCAGCATCATTTTATATTTTTTCCAGATCATTGTTAAAGATATTGAATGGATTTGGGCCAAAAGCTGATCTGTGTGGGACACCTCTAGAAAGACCATCATTGGATGATGATTCACTGTTTACAGTTACTTTTTGTGATCTATCATGTAACCGGTTTTTACTCCATTTTTTATCAGCTATGTTGATTTTAGATCGTAGTAATTTTTTAATCAGAATGTCATACGGTGATAAATTCCCTGCAGAGGTCTAAGCATGATGTCAGCACAGTTAACTTTGTCAACGAAACTCATGATCTCATCAAAAATAGTATCAGGCTTGTCTGACGAGACCTGTTTTCCATAAAACACTGTTGATTGGCATTAATTATGCTGCAGTCCTTTAATTCTTAACTGATTTCTCTCCACACTGGCCTTTTCACGATTTTGCCTGGTATCAGAGTCAGGCTCTCCGGCCCATAGCCACCGGGCCCTTCCCTTGCACATATTGGCACAACGTTCACATTTTTCCAGTCCTCTGGGACTTCTCTGGTGTCCCAGGATTTGTTAAAAATCTACGTTAATGGCTCAGAAACCACCTCCGCAAATGCACTGAGCACTCCTGGGTCCGAGTTCTCTGAGCCTGAAGATCTGAAGATGTTTAGCTTCAGCAGTTTCTGTTTAACACCCTCCCCAGCCCCGGTAAAATAAGAAGTGTTTCCTGATCGTTGTGAGCAGCGAGTAAATCATCCAACTTCTTCCCAGACACTGAACAGAACTATTTACTGAGCACTTCTGCCAGTCCTGTGTCATGTTGGCTGCTTTACAATGGTCGTTTCACGGCTGCCCCAGGAGGTGTCAGATGTTGGGTCTTTCTGATGGAGTTTAGGCAGTGGGACTGGGTCCCAAAGTTGGCTTGATCTAGCAATCCAGAGGTGTTGGATCCAGGTTTTTTCAGTGCTGTTGGGGTTCCAGAGTTTTTGGCATGCTAGATGCAGTTAGGCAGTGGCATTTGGGCCAACTATGGGCTAGATCCAGCTTTGTCCCCAGACTCCTTTTTGCAGTCTTGTTTTTGTTTCCCAGTTCTCTCCCGGCCTCCCATGCTATGAGGTGCTGAGCGCTCCTCTTGGTTTGGCTCCAGCACCATCTAGGAGGCCTTTCTTGCTATCTGTGTCTGCAGAACAGTCTCTGGCTCCCATCTTCCTCCCCTTGCTGAGGGTTGTTTGCCTAAATAGGTGAGCAACTAGTGTAGATGGTTTTCACTCCTTTAGCTGGTTGCACTTGACCTCGGGGGCCCTACAGGCTCAAGTCTAGGCTGCACTTAAAACTTAGGTGGGCTCAGCTCCGGCACTCAGGGATGTGAAAAATTCACAGATGTGCTGCCCTAAAGCGCCGGTAGAGAGACGGCTAGATGGCTGGAAGAACACCGCCGTTGCCTGGGGAGGTGGCGTGACTCTAGCCACAAGTCGCTGTAGTGTGTGTCTACGCTCCTGGGGCTGCAGACACGGCGCCTCCTCCTGGCCATTCTGGGGATTAGCTTTGCCAGGCATTGTGCCCTCCTCTGGCAGTCTCTTCACCCGTCCTCTCTGGCCCTGCAGCCCCTCTCACTGCGGGTCTGCAGTTTCCTCTTCGTCCCTCGACCCTCCGGCCAGGTCGCTACGTGGTGTCCCCTTCTGGACGGGGAGCGGGGGATGTAACCGTCCCGGGCAGGCCGCTGTCCTCTGCCTGGCCCCTGCCACATCCCCGGTGGCTGGCAGGGGAACCCAGGCCCGCCCTCTACTATAGGTTCCAGCTCAAGGTCCCTCCGAACAGAAGCCACGGCCTGCACTGTCCTGCCGTGCTGCTTTCCCCTGAGCCTTCTCCTACCTTCCTGGCTTCCCCCCTCTCTGGGTTCACCAGCCTCCCAACTCCTTCCTCTCAGGCAGTAACTGTGGACACCTCTGCTAGCCCCTAGCGCACCTCCATGCTCCCAGGGAGTGACTGCAACCGTCTTCTGCTGCCAGCATCCTGGCTTTATAAACCCGGCTCAGCTCCTCTCCCCGCTGGGCTTCCGCAGCGAGTGAGGCCTGACTGCGCGCTGGCTTTCCTCTGGGTGCAGCCCATCCATTCATAGGACCCCTCAGGCAGCCAGGGAAAACTCGCTGCCTGATCCAGACAGAGCCGGGCTGAGCAGCTGCTCAGTGGGGATGGAAATGGAGCCAGACAGCTCAAGAGGCACCATAGGCTGTGCCCTGCTATCCGGCTTCTGGAGTCCTTGCTGCCCCTTGCTCCAGCCTCTGCCAGCCTCCTGGGCCCAGCGGATGGCAGGGGAGAGGCAGCCCTGGGAGCTCATTGTGTGTTTTCGCTGTGTGCCGCAGGCTGCTTGGCACTGTGGGTTGCATGCAGCTGGACCCACCACTCTTTCCCTCCCCCGCCCCGACCTGGCACCCCTGGGGGCTTGCCTCCCGACTCAGGAGCTGCTGGGTAGCATGGCTGGGGCTGGGGGGTGGCGTGAGAAGGCCTGAGGGGGGTGCGGAGAGCTGCAGGAGTGTGTTGTGTTCCTGGGGGTGGAGGTTGTGCTTCTGTGGGGAGGTGTTTGTGTGTGTGGGGGGAGGGGGGATTGTGAACAGCATTGTCCAGGGGAGGCATTTGGGGGTGGGGGCTGTGGGCAGAGTCGGGCGGGGGAGGTGTTTGGGGGAGCGGGGGAGGCATTTGAGGGGCCTGGGGGTAGTGCCGGGGGGACTGTGGGTGGCACCGGCCAGTGGAGGTGTTGGGGAGGGTCCGTGAGCCGTGCCAGGGGAGACGTTTCTGGGGTGGCCGTGGGTGGGGGAAGGGATTTGGGGGAGGCTGTGGGCGGCGCTGGGCAAAGGAGGCGCTTGGGGTGTTGCCGTGGGCAGGGGAGGCATTTGGGGGGGCTCTGGGTGGCGCCAGCTCAGAGAGGCGTTTGGGGGGCTGTGGGTGGCACCGGGGAGACGCTGGGGGCGGCTGTGGGTGGCAGAGGAGGCGTTGGGGAGGGGCTGTGAGCAGCGCCGGGGAAGGTGTTTGGGGGGGTCACCATGGGCGGGCGAGGAGCTAAAGGGGGCCGTGAGTGGTTCTGGGTGGGGGAGGCGTTTGGGGTGTTGGCCATAGGCGGGAAAAGGGTTTGGGGGAGGCTGTGGGTGGCCCTGGGCGGAGGAGGCATTTGGGGGAGGGGTTAAGGGGGGGCCGTAGGTGGTACTGGGCGGAGGAGGCGTTTGGGGTGTCGCTGTGGGTGAGGAGCTGTTTGGGGGGGGCTGTGGGCGGCACTGGGCACAGGAGGCGTTTGGGGTGTCGCTGTGGGCGGGGGAGGCGTTAAGGGGGAGCCGTGGGTGGTACTGGGTGGGGGAGGCATTGGGGGGCTGTGGACGGCGCCAGCCGGGCTAGGTGTTGGGGGAGGCATGGGCCTCGTCGGCTGGGCGAGTGGCGTGTAGATGCTGGAGGGCGTCTCTCTCCGACCAGACCGTTTGGTTGAGCGTCTGCGTCTGGCTCCCGTGCAGGCTGTGGCAGGCCCGGGGCGGGAGGCGCTGGGCATGAGGGCGAATCCTGCCAGGGAGCAGCAGCCACCCTCTGAGCAGGCCCAGCGGCTCCTCGCTTCCGTCACCTCTGTCTCTTTGGGAGCCCCAGTTTGCTAACTAACTAACGGGGGGATGTCCTGCCTCTGCTGAGCTGGGCCCAGACCTTCCCAGAGTTCGCTGCCTCTCGCCCTCCCCTCTAACAGGGCAGTGGGGACGGGCGGGGGAGTGGCTGAGCCAGTTGCTGCTGCTGGCTTGTGCCCCCCGTCCCCACTTGCTACCGTGCCAACAGAGCCAGACCACTGCGGCAGTGAGAGCAGCCGATTTCTGGGCCCTAAGGGGGCAGGTCTAGGAGTCCCACTCCAGCCCATGATCCTGAAAGGGAGATCCCCTGTGCTTCACCCCCACCCTGCAGCCTGTGACTCTGGGGGGCTGGAGGAGGTGCATCGGGGGGACATCCCTGTCCCCGTGGCAGGTTGGGGGAGGGGCATTGGGGGGACACCCCTCCTCTCGTGTCGGATTGGGGGTGCCTCTCTCGCAAATAGCCCAGGGAAACTTGGGAAGCCCGTTCCAGACTTCTCTCTGTGGAGTCCAGGTCTCCCTACCTCACTCAGGGCCAGCGTCCCACGCAGGGCGCTCCCGGGGTGGAGGGGCGGTGCCAGGGACGGGTCCCACGCGGGGCGCTCCCAGGGCGGTAGGCCTGGGGCAGCAGCCGTTTCTGGGGTCCCACGAGGGGCGCTCCCGGGGCGGTAGGCCTGGGGCAGCAGCCGTTTCTGGGGTCCCACGAGGGGCGCTCCCAGGGTGGTAGGCGTGGGGCAGCAGCTGTTTCTGGGGTCCCACGAGGGGCGCTCCCAGGGCGGTGGGGGTGGGGCAGTGCCAGGGACGGGTCCCACGCGGGGTGCTCTCGGGGCGATAGAGGTGGGGGGGCGGCACCAGGCCAGGGTTTGAGAGTCTCGACTCCTCTCCTGCAGGGCATTCTCCTGAAGCGCAGTGGCAAGTCCCTCAACAAGGAGTGGAAGAAGAAGTATGTGACACTGTGCGATAACGGAGTCCTCACCTACCACCCCAGCCTGCATGTGAGTGAGCCCCGGGCAGGCCCTGCAGGGCCGGGGGGAGGTACAGAGGAGGTCTCTGCTCTGCTGCTCCAGCAGGTCCCTCGGGGGGTGTCGTGACTCCCCCAAAGCACCAGGCTAGTAGCGGGGAGGGGTGGGGAGTGCCGCAGCCTGGGTAGACCCAGGACTCCAGCCTCTCCAAGGAATGGCAGCCCAGGCAGGCACTCTGGTGCCTCTCGCCCCACTCCGGAGCTCGGCAGCATGGGGCCTCTGGCTGAGGGGAGAGGTCAGCAGGGACAAGCCTGCTAAGTAAACGTGGCCCTTTCTTTTCCTGCTTCCCTGGCCAGTCCCCAGTCAGGCAGGGCCCCTGGCAGGAGGGAGAAGGCGAAAGCTCCTTGCGGCCAGGGCCGATGGCCCCGTCTGGGTGTGGAACATGTTCCTGGCTGTTAGGTATTGGGTAACACAGAGGAGGTGCCGTGCAGAGCCTGCCGAGCTGAGCTGTCACTCGATGCATCTACAATCCTCTTTGCGGCTGGCTCACAGCTGCCTCTTCCATCCATCTCTGTCGCCTCCCCACTGCGGGGCTAATGGCTTCTTTCCCGTTCCTTCTTGAGCACAGTTTGCTGCTAAGACAGTGAAACGTGGCCACAGACACACCTGTGGCCCTGCAGACCGCGATGCCCTCTGGACAGCAGGGATCACTTCATGGGGGGCACAGAGCAGCCAGTGAGCAGTGGGGCCCTGAGCTAGCCCAAAGGGGTGCCATTGTGCCCCGGGGCTTGAGGGGTGAGCTGCTCCATGCTCAGAGCCCTGAATCCCTCGGACCCCAAGTGTTCTAATGCCCAGAGCTTCATCACTCTGCTCCTCAACTCCTGGAACCCCGTGTGCCCCCGTCCGGCTCTCTGTGCCCTCTCCTGCAGTCAGTTCACCTCGGAGTGCCACCTCTTATCCCATTGCCTTAAGCCGTGGGACTGTAAAACCCATTCTCCTCCTCCTAGCTCTGCTGTGCCATCCGACTGCTCCTCCAGCCCCCGGGTTCTCTGCCCCAGTCTCCACTCCTCCGACTCCCTGCTGCAGTCTCTCTCTTCCATAGCCTTGGACCCTGGAGACTGGGAGGGAGCTCCATTGGCTAGAGAGAGGGTGTACGTGTGTGTGCCCGTCTGCCCGCGTGTGCCCCGTGTGTGCGTGTGTACCGCCTTTACACTGGGGTCAGAGCCAGCCCTTGTGACCTCGGTTGGCTCCCACTGCTGAGGGTGGAGGAGCTCGTTGGGATGTCCCTCCCCTTCCCCATTGCCTCTTACCCTCAGCGTCATCATGTGACATTACGGGACTGCCCAGTGCCGGCACCCTGCACCCTTCGCCCGGTGCTGCTGGACACCTAGGAAAGTACATGCTGAAGGCATCACCTCCTCTACGTGACTTTCCACGGACGCGCTGAGCAGGGAAGTAAAATGAGGAGTAATAAGGCCTGCCTGGCGTGCGCCATGCTGGCAGCTCTCCCCGCCCCCACTAACTCCCTGTAGGGCAAAGGGTGTCTGTCTCCTCCCCACCCAGACACCATCTCCCCGGGGGGCCAAGAGCCCCACTGGGCACCTCCACGTTGTGTTGCTTCCGGAAGCCTGGCAGACTCAAGTGTTGGTGGGCTGTGAGCAGGCCTGGATGGCCGAATGCCCCTTGTGGATGGCCTGCCGCCTGCCCCGGGAACTCTGCTCAGGGGCCAGCTGGAGCCCCACGACACAGGGAGGGGAAGGGAGCCCTGCGGGGGGCTCACAGGCTGTCCTCACCACTTGTGCACTGCCCTGCAGAGCCCAGCAGGAGCCGCTGCCGTGCAGGGAGCACGTAGCCACATCCAAGGAGTGCGCCAGCAGGCGTTCCCGTGTGTCCTCGAGGGTCGCCCTGAGGCGAGCGGGACACTAGAACAGCCTGGCTGACTAGCGAGGGCCGTATCCCAAAGGAAGGATCGCAGCAGCATGGGTCCAGCAGGCACACGAAGAAAGGAGAGCAGCAAATACGGACCCTGGACTTCAGAAAAGCAGACTTGGACTCCCTCAGGGAGCTGATGGGCAGGATCCCCGGGGAGAATAACATGAGGGGGAAAGGAGTCAGAGAATCATAGAATATAAGGGTTGGAAGGGACCCCAGAAGGTCATCTAGTCCAACCCCCTGCTCAAAGCAGGACCAATTCCCAGTTAAATCATCCCAGCCAGGGCTTTGTCAAGCCTGACCTTAAAAACCTCTAAGGAAGGAGATTCTACCACCTCCCTAGGTAACGCATTCCAGTGTTTCACCACCCTCTTAGTGAAAAAGTTTTTCCTAATATCCAATCTAAACCTCCCCCACTGCAGCTTGAGACCATTACTCCTCGTTCTGTCATCTGCTACCATTGAGAACAGTCTAGAGCCATCCTCTTTGGAACCCCCTTTCAGGTAGTTGAAAGCAGCTATCAAATCCCCCCTCATTCTTCTCTTCTGCAGGCTAAACAATCCCAGCTCCCTCAGCCTCTCCTCATAACTCATGTGTTCCAGACCCCTAATCATTTTTGTTGCCCTTCGCTGGACTCTCTCCAATTTATCCACATCCTTCTTGAAGTGTGGGGCCCAAAACTGGACACAGTACTCCAGATGAGGCCTCACCAATGTCGAATAGAGGGGAACGATCACGTCCCTCGATCTGCTCGCTATGCCCCTACTTATACATCCCAAAATGCCATTGGCCTTCTTGGCAACAAGGGCACACTGCTGACTCATATCCAGCTTCTCGTCCACTGTCACCCCTAGGTCCTTTTCCGCAGAACTGCTGCCTAGCCATTCGGTCCCTAGTCTGTAGCGGTGCATTGGGTTCTTCCGTCCTAAGTGCAGGACCCTGCACTTATCCTTATTGAACCTCATCAGATTTCTTTTGGCCCAATCCTCCAATTTGTCTAGGTCCTTCTGTATCCTATCCCTCCCCTCCAGCGTATCTACCACTCCTCCCAGTTTAGTATCATCCACAAATTTGCTGAGAGTGCAATCCACACCATCCTCCAGATCATTTATGAAGATATTGAACAAAACCGGCCCCAGGACCGACCCTTGGGGCACTCCACTTGATACCGGCTGCCAACTAGACATGGAGCCATTGATAACTACCCGTTGAGCCCGACAAACTAGCCAACTTTCTATCCACCTTATAGTGCATTCATCCAGCCCATACTTCCTTAACTTGCTGACAAGAATACTGTGGGAGACCGTGTCAAAAGCTTTGCTAAAGTCAAGAAACAATACATCGACTGCTTTCCCTTCATCCACAGTCCAGGAGAGCTGGCTGGATTTTAAAGAAGCCTTCTTGAAGTTACAGGGACAAACCATCGGGATGTGTAGAAAGAAGAGTAAATATGGCAGGCGACCAGCTTGGGTTAACAGTGAAATCCTTGCTGATCTTAAACGCAAAAAAAGAAGCTTACAAGAAGTGGAAACTTGGTGGGATGACCAGGGAGAAGTATAGCAATATTGCTCGAGCATGCAGAGGTGTAATCAGGAAGGCCAAATCACACACACTGGAGTTGCAGCTAGCAAGAGATGTTAAGAGTAACAAGAAGGGTTTCTACAGGTATGTTAGCAACAAGAAAAAGGTCAGGGCAATTGTGGGCCCCTTACTGAATGGGGGAGGCAACCTAGTGACAGAGGATGTGGAAGAAGCTGAAGTACTCAATGCTTTTTTTGCCTCAGTCTTCACAGACAAGGTCAACTCCCAGACTGCTGCACTGGGCAGCACAGTATGGCTGGGATGATTTAGTTGGGGATTGGTCCTGCTTTGAGCAGGGGGTGGTACTAGATGACCTCCTGAGGTCCCTTCCAACCTGGATATTCTATGATTCTATGAAAGGTCAGGGCATGTAACCCACACCTGAGGGGCGCTTGCAGCTCCCTTCGCTTCATCGGGATATGTGCTCTACCTGCCAGCATCCCCTCCAGCTTGGCTGGAGCGAGGCTAAGCTGCAGAGTCCATGTGTGCAGAGGAGACAGCTGAGAACCATCATCGTTCTCCAGGTGGGGTCTTCCTATAGCGCAGATGCCTCTGTGCGCTGCCCCCATGATCCCAGTGACTTTTTCCTGCTGTGTCCCACTGCTGCCCCCTCCCCTCATTTCCCACCCCACTCTGGCCCCAGCTCTCCTGCGATCAGGGCAGCTGCCCTCGGTGTATTAGCTGCACTGTCCCAGCTGAGTTGCGTTCGTGTTTCCTTCAAGGCTTCCTCTCTCTGGACTCCCCTGAGTTATTTGGTTGGTATTGATTTAGTTGGTGTTGGTCCTGCTTTGAGCAGGGGGTTGGACTAGATGACCTCCTGAGGTCCCTTCCAACCTTGATATTCTGTGATTCGGTTTCATTGGGATTCGTTGATCAGCAAAGTTCAGCTCTTGGCACCTCCAGCCCCAGCAATGGAAACAGGCCTCCTCCTTCCCCAGACTCCTCACTATCTCCAGGGATTAGACTTGTAGTTCTTGCAATGATGCTCCCATAAGACCTTGTTCAACCCTGGAGTAAAGTGTCCTTACCCTCTTGCTTGTACTGGTCAGGTAACCCTTGGTAGCCTGGACGTGCTGCTGTCTCCCTGGAGCTCAAGCAGAGCCTTGTCTTGCAGCCCACAGCTGGTGTCTCCTCTTGTTGCTTTCCCTGGAATCTGTGTTCATCGACTCTGAGTTTTCAACAGCTTTGGGCATTGTGCAGATGGGGCGTCCTGAGCTGGAGTGGAGAGCAGCAGCTGATGCTGCAGACAGGAGGGCTCTGCAGGCCGGGTCCCAGGGCTGCAGGTCTCTGGCACAGCTTTCCATGTTCCTTTGGCTTCTTTTCCCTTCTTTGGTGACTGAGTTTGTTCCATTTCATGGAAAGGCCAAGGCAGTTTCAAGTCACTTTCCCAAAGCCTTAGAGGGCAAGTGTCTCTGCTCCTGGGGAAAGCACGCGGCTCAGCCCGGCCAGGCTGCGCGAAGCAGCGCCAGAGAGAAAGCATCTCCCATTTTGCAGCCAGTGGAGCCATTCACACAATCACCTTCTGTTAATTCTATCTGCAACATCAATTAAATTGTTTGTAGAAACTAATTGAATGTGGCTTAATCACACATCTTAATAGCTTTCCACGCTTTGAACTCGTTGTTAATTCCAGTAATAAAATGAAATGAGAGAACTAGCTGGGTAATTAGTGAGGAGGCTTGGGGAAGAAATTGCTCTTTTATAGCATGTAATAAAAGCAGCGTGCTGGTGACCGCTCTCTCCGGCAGGCAGCCGGCTAGCACAGCGATTATGCTGAGCTAGGGAAAATCCTCCAGCCCCTCTGAGATTCCCTGCCCAGGGGCTTCTCCTGTCTCCCACTCAGCCCCAGCGCTGCTTGGAGGAGCTGGTGATGAGGCTGTACAGCTCGGAAGCGCTTGGGACCCAGGGGTGTTTGTTGGCTTGACCACACTGCTCAGGTCGAGTCAAGACCCCCTAGGAGTCCAGTGCCTGGGAGGGGTGCGTGGGGTGAAGCGCTGTGGCTGTTCTCTGCTGGGGCGGGGAGCTAGACCCCTGGGTGAGGCACTGGCGGAGCGAGGGAGGGCCGTGCAGGCTGGCTGAGTCAGCCCAGCTGCAGTAGAGGCTATGGAAGTGTGACCCACGCAACCCTCCGCCACCTGCCACTTTGAGCCCCGCGGGGGCAGTCAGAGAAGCCATGGCTCCTAAGTTGGGCCCGTTCGCTGCTCTACCTGCCTGAATTTAGAAGCAGAGGATTTACACAGGGCCCAACTCTGCCTTAATCTTTTTGGTGACCTCCTTGTGAACTGGAGCAAACCCAAGCTTGCCTGCAGAACAGAGAACTGCAGCTGCAGCTTCATCCTGGCCAGCTGCTGTCCCTCATCTGCCACATACAGAGCAAGCCCCCAGGGAGGGGATGCTGTGCCGGGCTGCCTTGGGTCCCAGAGCAGGGTGAGGCCAGCCCCTCACTGTAGCCTTCTTTCTCTGCCTCTCCCCCCCCCCCCCCCCCATGCTCCTGGGATCTTGCTCTCAGCCCAAGGCCTGTGCCCCAGAGCAGGAGGGACGGCCCCTTTCAGTGAGGGGATCACATGTGGACTCGTGCATGTATTTCTGGGTACATCAGTCCCAGACTGGGGGGACTGAGTTATGGGGAGAGGCAAAAAGAGCGAAGTGAGTCTGTCAGGGTGGCTCATACTCGCCGTCTGTGGGTGAGATTTGCTGTAAAGGTTTCCCAAGAGAAGAGGTGGAAGCCCAGAGTCTAGAGTCATCGGAAGTGCTGGCGAATGTACCACAGGGAACTCCCTGTGGTTGGATCCCAGGAGCTGGGAGAGATTTTCCGGCTCTGTGTTCCACAGACGGAAGGAAGGAAGGAATGGGACTGCCCGCTATTCCTGCAGCTCAGCATCACTACCTGGGCTCTGACGAAGGGGCCTGGGCTGTGGGCACTGAGTTCTAATCCTTCCCCAGGTTGGGAGGGGGCTGGCTGGCTCAGGAATGGCATTATTCACATCAGGCAATGGCTGGCCCTGGGAACGGGACAGGGAGCCTCTCACCTCGAGGCCAGCTGCACTGTTAGCTCAGGGAAGCACAAGAGGAGCATGGGGGTGTTTGAGCTGTAATAAGGGAAGTGAATCCAGAGCTCTGAAACACCCCCATGTTGCTTGCTGGGCACCTTGCGACTGTCTGGGACAATCCCGCCCGGCAGAATGTCTGAGCAGAGGGAGACAGAGAGGCTTGCGCTGAACCTGCTGTCTCTCTCCTGTAGGATTACATGCAGAACGTCCATGGCAAGGAAATAGATCTCCTGAGAACAACAGTGAAGGTGCCGGGCAAGCGGCTCCCCAGGGCCACGACGACAACAGCCCCCAGCGCCAGCCCCAAAACCAACGGGCTTGCCAAGGAGCGGAGCAGCATGCAGTTCCCAGGAGGCCCAGGTAAGGAGAGGAGGAGGGACTCGCCCAGGCTCAGCGGCTACAGGGCTCTTAGCTAGGTCACAAGCAGACAGTGCACAAGTGGTTCTGGTGTCTCCTGCTCCTCACACTCTTTTCACCAGTCGTAGAATCACAGAATATCAGGGCTGGAAGGGACCTCGGGAGGCCACCTAGTCCCACCCCCTGCCCAGAGCAGGACCAATCCCCAACTAAACCATCCCAGCCAGGGCTTTGTCAAGCCTGACCTTAAAAACCTCTAAGGAAGGAGATTCTACCACCTCCCTAGGTAACGCATTCCAGTGTTTCACCACCCTCCGAGTGAAAAGGTTTTTTCTAATATCCAACCTAAACCTCCCCCACTGCAACTTGAGACCATTACTCCTTGTTCTGTCATCTGATACCATTGAGAACAGTCTAGAACCATCCTCTTTGGAACCCCCCTTCAGGTAGTTGAAAGCAGCTATCAAATCCCCCCTCGTTCTTCTCTTCCACAGACTAAACAATCCCAGTTCCCTCAGCCTCTCCTCATAAGTCATGTGTTCCAGGCCCGTCATCATTTTTGTTGCCCTCCACTGGACACTTTCCAATTTTTCCACATCCTTTTTGTAGTGTGGGGCCCAAAACTGGACACAGAACTCCAGATGAGGCCTCACCAGTGTCGAATAGAGGGGAACGATCACGTCCCTCCATCTGCTGGCAGTGCCCCTACTTATACATCCCAAAATGCCATTGACCTTCTTGGCAACAAGGGCACACTGTTAACTCATATCCAGCTTCTTGTCCACTGTAACCCCTAGGTCCTTCTCTGCAGAACTGCTGCCGAGCCATTCGGTCCCTAGTCTGTAGCGGTGCATGGGATTCTTCCATCCTAAGTGCAGGACTCTGCACTTGTCCTTGTTGAACCTCATCAGATTTCTTTTGGCCCAGTCCTCCAATTTGTCTAGGTCCCTCTGTATCCTATCCCTACCCTCCAGCGTATCTACCTCTCTTCCCAGTTTAGTGTCATCTGCAAACTTGCTGAGGGTGCAATCCACACCATCCTCCAGATCATTAATGAAGATATTGAACAAAACCGGCCTGAGGACCGACCCTTGGGGCACTCCACTTGATACCGGCTGCCAACTGGACATGGAGCCATTGATCACTACCCGTTGAGCCCGACAATCTAGCCAGCTTTGTCTCCACCTTATAGTCCATTCATCCAGCCCGTACTTCTTTAACTTGCTGGCAAGAATACTGTGGGAGACAGTGTCAAAAGCTTTGCTAAAGTCAAGGAACAACACGTCCACTGCTTTCCCTTCATCCACAGAACCAGTTATCTTATCATAGAAGGCAATTAGATTAGTCAGGCATGACTTGCCCTTGGTGAATCCATGCTGACTGGTCCTGATCACTTTCTTCTCCTCTAAGTGCTTCAGAATTGATTCCTTGAGGACCTGCTCCATGATTTTTCCAGGGACCAAGGTGAGGCTGACTGGCCTGTAGTTCCCAGGATCATCCTCCTTCCCTTTTCTAAAGATGGGCACTACATTAGCCTTTTTCCAGTCGTCCGGGATCTCCCCCGATCGCCATGAGTTTTCAAAGATAATGGCCAATGGCTCCGCAATCACATCCGCCAACTCCTTTAGCACTCTCGGTTGCAGCACATCCGGCCCCATGGACTTGTGCTCGTCCAGATTTCTAAATAGTCCCGAACCACTTCTTTCTCCACAGAGGACTGGTCACCTCCTCCCCATACTGTGCTACCCAGCGCAGCAGTCTGGGAGCTGACCTTGTTCGTGAAGACAGAGGCAAAAAAAGCATTGAGTACATTAGCTTTTTCCACATCCTCTGTCACTAGGTTGCCTCCCTCATTCAGTAAGGGGCCCACACTTTCCTTGACTCTCTTCTTGTTGCTAACGTACCTGAAGAAACCCTTCTTGTTACTCTTAACATCTCTTGCTAGCTGCAACTCCTTTAAAATACAGCCAGCTCTCCTGGACTCCTTTCTCCCTCATGTTATTCTCCCAGGGGATCTTGCCCATCAGTTCCCTGAGGGAGTCAAAGTCTGCTTTTCTGAAGTCCAGGATCTGTATTCTGCTGCTCTCCTTTCTTCCCTGTGTCAGGATCCTGAACTCGACCATCTCATGGTCACTGCCTCCCAGGTTCCCATCCACTTTTGCTTCCCCTACTAATTCTTCCTGGTTTGTGAGCAGCAGGTCAAGAAGAGCTCTGCCCCTAGTTGGTTCCTCCAGCACTTGCACCAGGAAATTGTCCCCTACACTTTCCAAAAACTTCCTGGATTGTCTGTGCACCGCTGTATTGCTCTCCCAGCAGATATCAGGGTGATTGAAGTCTCCCATGAGAACCAGGGCGTGCAATCTAGTAACTTCCATGAGTTGCTGGAAGAAAGCCTCGTCCACCTCATCCCCCTGGTCCGGTGGTCTATAGCAGACTCCCACCACGACATCACCCTTGTTACTCACACTTCTAAAGTTAATCCAGAGACTCTCAGGTTTTTCTGCAGTTTCGTACCAGAGCTCTGAGCAGTCATACTGCTCCCTTACATACAGTGCAACTCCCCCACCTTTTCTGCCCTGCCTGTCCTTCCTGAATAGTTTATAACCATCCATGACAGTACTCCAGTCATGTGAGTTATCCCACCAAGTCTCTGTTATTCCAATCACATCCTAATTCCTTGACTGTGCCAAGACTTCCAGTTCTCCCTGCTTGGTTCCCAGGCTTCGTGCATTTGTGTATAGGCACTTGAGATAACCCGCTGATCGCCCCTCTTTCTCAGTATGAGGCAGGAGCCCTGCCCTCTCGCGCTCTCCTGCTCGTGCTTCCTCCCGGTATCCCACGTCCCCACTTACCTCAGGGCTTTGGTCGTCTTCCCCCGGTGAACCTAGTTTAAAGCCCTCCTCACTAGGTTAGCCAGCCTGCTTGCGAAGATGCTCTTCCCTCTCTTCGTTAGGTGGAGCCTGTCTCAGTGTTTTACACAGCAATCCTGTGTCTGCACGGAGCCGAGATGAGTGCCCTATTTGGGCAGGGCCGTCTGGCTTCCCTTCTGGAGACGGGATGGGGCTGAAACACTTGCCCCTCAGGCCCCTGACATTTTTGTGGCTTTACAGTTACATTTTCCTGTTTTAGAAAATGTTTCCCCTCTGTTGCCATAGGAGCCCCGGTGACTGACCGATTCTGCCAGGCAGACGGAACTATCTGACTGCACAAAGTGCTGGCAAATGCCTAAAGGCAAGAGAGTGTAAAGCGTGTGAAAGCTTTTCCATAGTCAGTCTCAGTGGCAGTGACTGGAGAGTTACGGGACAAGAGCAAGTCCAGATTTTCAGACAAGTGGATTTTCATTGATTGGTGTCCCTTTAAGAGAGGTTTGGGGTGGAAGCAATGAAAAGTTTACAAGGGTCTTGCTGAACTTCATGACTCCAGCAGGTACTCTCAGTAAGAGCTGGAGGGAAGTTCTCAAACAGATTAAGGCTGATTGACTCCGACATGCTGAACCCTCTGTCCAGGCTTGCAAGGAGCCTGAGAGATGGAGCCACGAGAATTTGTGTGTCGCTGAGAGGAGATTCTGACCTAGGGCATTGCTGGGGCCTGATAGGCTGAGCATGGAAACTGGGGACGTTGTTCTTGTTTGTACTCTCTTAGTGCCCACAGTGCGCATGTGCCATTCACATTAAGAGGGGAGACAGCCCCTGCCCAGGAGCTAAGAAGAGAAGCAGAAAATCTCCCTCCCACCCTACATCTGGGTACTCAGGTACTCCGGCAATGGCTCCAGGGAAAATCCCCAAGGGACAATAGGGACAGCGTTTATATCCAGTAATACCCCCCATGGCTCCTGAGCCCAGCAAGCTTCATAGGCTGGTTTCTCGGGGATGTTCTGACAGGTGAAGGAGGAGATGGTGGTGGTCTTGCCTGTCAGGCAGGGGGTGGGGGAGTGGCAGGAAGTGGTTGTGGGAGAAACCTTTGGGAAGGGCTAAGGGTAATGGAGAAATGTCAGACATATCTGCGCCAGGCCACCTCTACTCCTCAGATGGAATGGGGAGAGAACAATAAATCCTTAGAAACTGCAGGACACTGACTCATGGGTGACTTTCCCTCAATATCTTTTGGGGGGAAAAAACTGAACATAGACCGTCAAAATTTATAGTCAGAACTGGTAGAGATGCCTCTAGTTAAGGTGGAATAACATTTTCCATTATAAGCGCCTATTTTCAGCTGCATAGAACATTGCCAAACTTTATCCCTGTGGACTGAAATATTCCATGTTGGGCCTCTGCCTGAGGTTGAATTTTTAAACATTTAAGCAAAAATGATTCACCATTAGCTTTGCCAACGTTGAAGAATTTTTTCCAGCTAAAGAGCTTCAGCACCTTGAGGGTGTAGAACAGGAACTTGAAATTTAGCCAGGGAATAGTCCTGGGGTTAGAGAGATGTCTTTTGTATCCCCATGAAAATCTGTTCAGATTAGGGTGACTAGACAGCATATGTGAAAAATCGGGACGGGGGTGGGGGGTAATAGGAGCCTAAATAAGAAAAAGACCCCAAAACCGGGAGGGTCCCTATAAAATCGGGACATCTGATCACCCTGGTTCCGTTTTGGCAGCGTTATAAACCTCTGCAAACTGCATTTGCACATGCTCAGTAGAGCTTGTTAGAAACTTGCTGATAAAATCTCTTGAACATTCCTTCCACTCTGAGCAGGCTTGTTGGCCCCCAAAGCTGGAGCTTGTGACAGGACAGCCTGTGCATTCCTAGCCTCTGAGTGCTCGACTTTGCAACCCTAATGTTCTTTTAATGCTGTTTTGTTTGCGGCGTTTTGTATGGAGTGATACAGAGAGTAGAGAATGCAACCAGGGACAAGCCCATTGCTGAGGCCAAGTGTAAGGTCTATTAACAGTTTTTAGTATCTAATTAAATGCAGATAACTTGCGTTAATGAAGCATTAAGGGTGAGCAATCGAGTCAGGAATTTCCCAAAGTGAGGGTTGCTGTCCCATGTTAACTCAC